CATGGCTCTGCCTAATGGCTCATTAATTTAATTAAGGAAAGAAAGAAGGGAGGAATATTCATATTTCCACTGATCACATTCTTTTAGAAAAGACCCCAAAACAATTTGTTTTCAGATATATTGATGCCACTTTTGGTATGCTTCTCTTTTATTATTTTAAAAGTGATATATTTTTTGTATTAAATATTTAGTTGTTTTCTTTCTTTATAAACTGTTCAAAAATAAAATATATCATGGCAGAAATGAAAGAAAATTTATTTTTAAGGTTATTTTGAAGTAAATGCATGATAAACATTTAATTTTAAGCAAAATTTTATTAAGAACGGCTTTGTCTGTAGTTCCTCCAAATGCTCTGGGATTATGAAAATGAGTGCAAATTTATATAGAGAAAAAGTTTTTACAACTTCAGGCTTTGGGACTGACACCCTAACCAAGATTTCACCAAAGATATTTACAAACCATTAAGTTGAGCAAATTACGAGTTTGAAGCTTTTAATTTTATCATTTCTCCTATGAAAGCATTTTCCTACTTATTAAAATGTCATTTTTATATTTCTAAAGGCTGAGTTTCACCTTCAGCCCTAAGCGAGTAACTATTATCCTTCTTATACTCCTCGACACTGCCCTCCCTACTACAGCCATAAATCTGACCAAAATCAATGCAGTACTTGTTTTCAGGCATTGAGCAACAGCCAGGCCAGGACTGTGATCCCTAGGAGAACTGAAGCAATGTTCTCCTATCCCACAAGCATTGAGCAACAGCCAGCCCAGGACTGTGATCCCTAGGAGAACTGAAGCAATGTTCTCCTATCCCACAAGCTCTCTGATGAGGGAGGGGGCATTTTTCAGACTATTATTTAGGGAGGTGAACAAAGGAAAGTGATGGGCTTGGTAAAGGGGGAAGCAGAATGGAATCGGGGTTGCCAACGTGGCAGGAACCAGACAAGAGTGAGCTGTGCAGCAGCCAAGGGTATCAGGAGGCAGGCTGAGGGATGCTCAGGAGTCCTCCTCCAGACATGCATGTCAGCCAGTTCATGCGCAGTTAGCCCATGTGAACTCTGAACTAATAAAGATGATGACAAAACTGTGCCATTGGCAGACCACTCTTGGAGAAGTGCGGAGGGTTTGTCTTGCCATGTCTTCAAGATAAAGAGACTTGAGAATTCTCTGGAAGTTTTATGAAGACTCCAATTATTCTTCTTTTTAATAGTTTAGGATTTCATACTCTTGTGAGTGTGATCAATCCTAAACCAAAGCATATGATTTCCTTGCACACCCGTCAAACCATAATCTTGAAGTAATTAGTGTATTTATCTAAGAGGAATGGGAAAAATTAAAATTGTATACCACTTTATGTTAAAGTAAGGCATTATGATATTCCAAATCATATAACCTCTCAGGAATTAAGCCAAACTGCTTACAATACATATTGTAAACAAACTACTTTAATCAACTAAGTGGCTATATGCCAGATAATTATTCAACTTCAGAATTTCTGACTGACAATTTGACTACTAACTAGCCAGCCTCAGGTTTTAGACAAGTTTCATATTTACACTATGCATCTTGCTCATGTATGTTACAAAAATACTGTATTTTGGTCAGACCCAAACCATTATACACCTGCCTATTATCTAAGGAAACAAAGTAAGTAGGACTAGAGTTCTATCTTATTTCAGCAAAGTCAAGAATTCCTTACAGACTTATTCCCAAGGTGTTCCCTGCTTGCCTGCCCCAATAAAGCCAGTAAGACCAGTAAAATTATTATATCTTACAAAAATTTCAAAGAGTTTGTGAAATGCAATTTTCACCTTACATATTTTTTATTGAATTAAAACATCATTAATGAGCACTCTCAATTATTTTTTAAGATGGGCACAATATTGTTTATTTTATTTATTTTTATGTGGTGCTGAGGATTGAACCCAGGGCCTCACATGTGCAAAGCAAGAGCTCTATCACTGAGCTATAACCCCAGCCCTCTCAATGATTTTTAGGCATCGTTTTTAAAGCCTTAAAACATCTTTGACGGGGAGAGTTATGAACTAAAGTCAAATTCCATACGTTTGATTTTAGGATGAACTCATCTACTGTGTATAACTATAAAGCTCTAATAAAAATATTATACTAAAAAAATCTTTGATCACATCCAAAGTATAGTATAAATTTATGCTCCTAAATCACTTGGAAACAAAATTAATTTCAACTCAAGTCATTTTTGGAACACCATATTGCATTCAACACTATTATAAGTTTCTCAAATGATAAGACATTAGAAATAAACTAAGAAACTAACTAACCAAACTAAGCCAATAAACCTTATAGGTTAAAAAAATTTGAGTTATTTTAAATACAATATGAAAGTTATCTTTGTTATTGTTTTAAATAGTCTTCATACATTCTCTTTAAAGTGTCTCACTCCAAAAATTTTTCTTAAAACATTCCTAACTTATAAAATCTACAAAGGGACATACCATCTGCATATTTTCAAAACTATGAAGGAAGTCTGTGTCATCAGCCACAGTGCCTCAATACTACAAATAACAACAACAAAGTACTGGTGATAAAATTAGGAAGTGCTTAATTTGTGATTGGCCAAAGGAGATTTTAGCTTCTGTCATTGTCTCTTAAAATGTGCCTCAGGAATTAAAATTGTAATAATCCTTTGTGCTGCTTCTTAGTAAACTCAGATTCCCGGGCACCTCCTCTGACCTACTGAATCAGTTATGGAACCAATGAGTGAGATCCTGGGAATTAGACCAACAATGTGCCCTTCATGGGTGGTATCTCTTTACCAGTTTTCTAGCATGAAGGAAAATAGTCTACAAGTTAGTGAGATGTTCAGATTTTTCAACGTATAATTCTACTCTCAAAACCAAGCTATCATGATGAAAACTGTTGCCTGAGGATCTGTGTCCCAACCTGCTTTTAGTAGAATAGAACTTGTGCATTTTCCCCTTCAATTATATAAAGTGCACATCAACCCTTAAAAATTAACTACTCATCACTGCAATCCATGCTAATGGGTTCCAAGCTTATGTAATATGTATTCAATAAAATACAAAGCATTTTTTTTTTTTGGTGAGGAGACCTAAAGCTTTTATGAGACAATTTTGATAGCATTTAAAACTATTCAGTGCAGAATAAACTGGTGAGTATTTAAAAGAGGGAACACTGGGTAAATATCAAATTGGGCTTATTTTATAATTATGTAGAAAGTTTACCTATATTCCAAATACCATTTTTATTACTTGGAAAGAATCTTGGGAATTTTTTAATTAGTTAAATGAGAACAGAATCTATTAAAAACAATTCACTTATTTTTCCATCAATAATTGTGCTTTATATTCTAGGAAAGCAGCCAGCAAATAGACACTCTAAATGTATTTGTGATTCTTTTAGCTCAGTTAATATACTATTGCAAAGGGTTATTATGTTTTGCTTCTACCTTTTTTGTTCTTGCTACATGGGATTTATGGACTGTCAGTAATCACTAACAACAACAAAAAAATTCTATTAGCTTCAGAAAGTCTATCTTGCTACCCCTTTTAACAGAAAGACTTCCTTTGCTAATGCTTTTGTCAGAAACAAAAATCGTAGGGCTTGGTGACCCCTTTCAGAAAGCTTCTGTTGAAACAATGATCCTATCTTTGGAGACACTACAACATTAACTTAAAGTTGGGAGGAAAACTTCAGAGATCTTGCAAACCTTGGTTATTTAAAATCGATCCTCAAAATAAATAAATAAAATGAAATAACATCGATCCTTCTTAGGGAAAAAACCTATTTGACCACATCAGTGCTCTCTTCTCCCTTTTTGTGCGCGGGGCATTGATTCGCACCCCCCCCACACACACACACACACCCTTTTTAATTTTTTTTTTCCTCTCTCTCTCAACAGATCTCTTTCCTTTCTCTTCAGTCCCAGAAAAACTGCTCCATTTTCTGCTACCTCCAGTGCACCCTCTTCCCCATTGTGTCTGGCTCAGTCACTGAGGCACACCACCACCCCCCCAATGGTTACAGTTGTCTCTGGGGGTGGGGGCCACCGGGGACACCCTGTCTCTCCTAGGTATCTCTCCACCCTGAATGCCCCAGCTGAATAGCTGAACCAAGATAGGAGGAGAAGGAACCTTTGGCGTCTCTCCCCATTGGGCCTCAGCACCTGCCCATCTACCTGCCCCACATGCCCGCCCAACCCCTGCCCAGCGCCCTGGCAACCAGCGAGACGCTGTGCTGATGCTAGGTTTGTCTCTGGTTCTCATTTTTTTCGTCCTCCCGCTCTTTTTTTCTCCCACTGTGTTTTTGTCATTGATTCTTTGATGGCGAAAGAAAACAGCTCAGAGCTATAGTTGTTTCCCATGAATAAGCGAGGGCTTTTTCCAAAACCTTTCTCCGTGTCTTTCTCCCCCTAACGCAGGTAGACTGCAATGCAAAGGGCTCCTCTTTCAGCCAGTGATGGGTATCAGTCTCCCAGTTTGCCAGATTGACTCAACAAACCCTCACCTACTGAAACCTATCCCTTGCCAGTTAAGCTTTCTTCCAGTTAACCATATTCCTTCCCACTGTTAAGCACCTCCTCCACCTTTTCGGGTTCCACTACCGCCCACATATTTAAAAAGAAAAAAGAAAATCCAACAGGCAAGATAGTGTGAAAGAAAGTGTGCATGTGTAAGATAGTCTGAGTGTGTGCATCTGTGCCTATCACCTCTCTCAATTTGTCCGGGTCCCACACACGTGGCCACCCAGGCGCAGGACAAGTCAGGCAGATGCTGGGCGCTACCGAGCCTACCTGTCCGCGTCCAGGTAACTGGCGAAGTGCCCGCGGGGCTGCGTTCCAGGACACCTGGGCTGAGCAGAACTAGCCAGTGAACTGAGGCTACAGGGAGCCCTTTCCCGCGCGCGTTCTCCCACCCTCTTTCCCTTGAGGGGTATTCTGGTTGTTTCTACACCCCTTCCCCCCAAAGACAGCGGGACTATCCTCCTCCACATTGCCTTACCTCAAACAGAGGACCGATCTTGTTCTTCTCTAGGTAAGCCTGGATACGGGTTTGCTGATGAGACGCCATGGACACGCTGAATCGGCCGCGAGAAGACCGCGCGACTGTGCGTCTCCGTGGGGGACAACCCTCCTTTGCCCCGAAATGGGGCCGGGACAGGAGCTTAGGAGCCTCAGCAACCCTGGCGCGGCTGGTGCCACCCTCGGCGCGGGCGTGGGCAACAACCCCGGGAGAGGCGAGGTCGTGGGGCGCTGAGTGCCGGAAACCCGGGCGCTGTGCCGCCAACTCAGACAACTCCAAGGCGAGGGGAGAACTCATTCAGCGGGTTCTCTTCCTCACGCCCACCCGCGCCAATCTCCGCAGCGCCAGCGCCGAGGGGAAATTCGAGGCAGAGGCTCGTCTCTCCTCTGGGCGGCAGCAGCAGGAATCAGGGGGTGGGAGGCGATCGCGGAGACGCTGCTCCTCCCAGCGGGCGCCCAGGGGCGGCGAGCAGGAGTGTGCGTACAGGGACGCGCGACTGTGTGCGCCCCTCTCCCAGGTTACAGGAACAAACAGCCCGGGCTTCTCCCAGAAGCTGGGCTCGCCCTACCAGCCGCTCCCTAGCGACAGCGCCTCTCAAAAAGCCAATGGTGAAGGTGCTTCTTTCAAAGTGCACATAAATCTGGTCCTTGTTGGCTACTCCTTGGCAGCTACAATTGCAGTTCGGAAGGGGATTGTCCCCACTGTCCTTTTGGGGGCCTCTCCCAGGCACCTGTGCTTTGCCTGTACTAACTCAGGGTCCAAGAAGGGAATAGAAGTGAGCAGGTGCGTAGGTCGAAGGGTTTGCAGCGAAAACGAAGTTGCTTTCCTTAAAATACCAAAAACAAAAACCTGGCTTGCCTGGAACAAGTCAACGGGCGAATACAAGCTGAGAACCGGTCAAAAACTCCCCAAAGTGCTGACCCCAAAGGCTGAAACAAAGCTGCTTCAGGATCTGACAGGGCAAAAAAGATCAAAGTGAGCCAGCCCTCCCTTTCAAATCTATATCTCTAGCTACATCCCATACGCTACACTCTTTCCCTTAATAATGTTTACTCTGGATACATTGTGTCTCCTTAAATGTAGCCAGTACCTTTCTTATTATGCAGGGATTTCCGAGTTGAAGATCTACAGAAAACACAGGTTTCTTCACAGAGGTCTTTCTTGTGAAATGAAACACTGACGCCCCAGTGTCGATTTTCCTGGTTTCCTAATCATTATGATTATTTGCTGCCAAAATCATAACACTTGCATTAATAAATATGAATATTTATATTAATGGGAATCATTTTTCTTAGCAGACTACACTGGTATAGATTCTTTCTGTCTCCACTATTCTGGATTTCTGTGACTCATAATTTCTTTATTGGTGACCCACCTTTTCTTCTGTATTTTAAGTGATAGGTGACAACATGCAATAGTTAGGATTAGAATAGAATATTTCAGAAAGTATTTTTAATGCCAATTAATAATTCAGATATAAGAAATCTGCCAGATGAACTAAGGAGCTTAACCCATCACTGATAACCTGAAATGGATACGATTTGAGATGGAGAAAATGTCCTAGCTGTTACTTTCACAGTTAAACTTAGGTCATCTGCCCGAGAATTAATCAAATATCAGTGAGGTTCCCAGGGTTAAAACATGCTTTCCACTGTGGTTCAAAGGTATACTTTGATGTATTTTTTTTTAATATTCTCAGGAGTTATTAAATACAGAGTGACTACCAACACTTGTTATAAGAATAACATGATTGTTAATAACCATGGAGAATAACCATATGGAAAAACCATCTATGACCCAGCTTTAAAGTCAAGTAATTTTGATATACCTGGAAAAATCAGTCTGCCATCCTTCTGAAAGCAGAGTCAGTCTCCTCTAGAAGACCTAAGGAGGAGCATTCTTTACAAATAATTAATATAATTACCAAGTTTTCACCATGCTCAGAGCATGGCACAAAGGGTCTTGGATAGAATAGACAAAGCTTCATCTAGTAAAATGCCTATGTATTAAGAAGAGAATCATAAAGATACACATAACCATTTATGTATATTAAAACATGAACATCCCAAAATTACATATCTAAAATTTCTGAAATATTTTCAAAGGCTTTCAAAGCCTACATCAAATGCCACCTCCTCCACAAAGCATTTTCCTGGTTCTTTACACTTATCCTTAAATCTGAGATCATTGCTATGGTATTTCTTGCTCTTCCTCTCCATGGCAGACAACATGTAAGAACTGAGAATTCAAAGGCAAAAGGCTTGTCTTTCTCCTCAGGTGTTCAGTCTTCTTGGGACAATTGGCATATATACAAATAATGGAGGCATTGTACACATAGAGTTATGTAAAATATGCTGATTCTACTGACAAAGTAAAAGAGTTGTGCTTGCTATCTTAAGGATTGACTCACAACCTAAGAACGCAGATGGGCAGTGAGATCCACTTGGGCAGAGCAAGAACACACTCAGGCTAGAACAAAGTCAGCCACCCTCTTCTAGACCACCCAACCCAGAAAATGGAGAGCAGAAGAAAGAAGAGATAATGATTAACAAGGAAACAGAAAAACAAGGAGTAAGCAGAAGTTTGAATTTCATCCAGAGAAAATAATTGAGCTTCAGAAATTTTTTCAATTCTTTTTCACAGGGTAATTTGAGTTTTCCTAGACATGCCAAAATTTTTATAGGAGAATTATCCTTGGGAAGTGGGTGGTGAGCAAAAGTTCGGGGTCAAGTCTGGCAGCTTCTTTCAGCTGAGGGACTTATAAATCACAATCCAGAAGTAAATATTTCCTGCAAAGCTACCTTTAGGTCTTATTTTCTAAATAAATTAATCAGTCTGGAAAGACTATTCTTCTTAGAACTGCTGGAAAGAAAGTACAGAGCAGGATCAAGATCATATGCTTTATATCCTAATCAATAATCATTTGGTTGTACAATTTGATTGTACTTTCCATAAAGAACCTGGTTTTTTATTTGCTTGTTTTGGTTTTGTTTGGTGGAGTTGTTTGGTACCAGGGATTGAACATAGGGGCGCTTAACCACTGAGTTCCATTCCCAGCCCTTTTGATATTGTATTTTGAGATGGAATCTCTAAGTTGCTGAGGCTGGCTTTCAACTTGCAATTCTCTTGCTTCAGTCTCCTGAGCAGCTGGGTATACAGTTCGAGCAAAGTTTTGAAGGAAGAGTAAAATTTTAAAGTTTTTCAGGGTTTATGTTTTTGTTTTTGTTTTTGGTGGATTGAGGATGGGGATAAAATATCAGGCTTTGGCATTAAAAATATTATGTGCAAAGGTACAGAGGTACACAAGGGTTGATGGTGAGGAGCAACAGGTATATATGGTGAAAGAGCATCATGTGAAGTTAAAAACCAAACAGAATTCAGTTTTTTGAAGGTCTTAATCTCCTTAAGAAATGACTTACATTTCTTGGGTGATGAGAAGGAACTACTTGGATTACAGAATCCATAACAAATGATGTTACCAGCATTAAGAATGGGAGTGTGGGAATGGAGAAAATGGGATGTGTTCAACATGCATTGTATTCAAGGATAAATCTATCCATCAATGCATAGAATGAGATTATACAAGAAATTCAAAGGTGGTACTGATTTCTGAAATAAGATAAGAGATGAAAATTATTTGCTGAAGTCACCTAATGTATTGGGGAAGATTATAATTCATGTTTTTCAAATGCTAAAGTTGAAGCTGTTTCCACTCTCTACTCTGAAACTTGAAGATCTGTCAAGAATTGGGTTTATAGATATGAGCATTCCTTGTGGAAAGAGCCATGCCTCATGACCTGGCATGTAGCAGGTACTCCATAAATAGCAGTTAAATGAATTGATCTAGTCTTTAGAACTAATGCAATCCAGCTATGTTCTTTCAGGCTAAACTTTATCTATGACTCATGGCATTTAAAGTCTGTTTTGTTTCATTTAGTTAATTGCATGCATATTTTGGTCCCTCTTTTAAACTGCCAACTCTCTAAAAATCATGAATTGTATCTCAATAATTTTCTTAGACTTTACAGCATGTAATATACTATATCTTCATATAGTCAATTCTTCATATTTTTAATTAAGATTCCATTGCCTTATGTTTTAATAATTTGTATCACCTAGTTCAACTAAGATACAATGAAAAGTAACCATGGCTGGGATTGAATTTAACAACTTCTTTCTGCATTACAACTCAGTACCTTTATTCTCCTTTCCCCTTTTTTGGCTTGGGTACAGCATGAAAGGGCCATTTTTTTTTAGTGAGACTGTTCTGACCTCATTGTGTTATAAGAGTCCCTGTCAGCATAATTTACAAGTATACAGAATCCAATTTATAGGATGTACTAAAGCCCTTGTCTAACTTCATTTATAAAACACCTTGCACTAATCCTTAAACAAATGATTTTCAATAAAAGATGAGAGAACAATGGTGAAGTCCAGATGACCCAATTAAGGAGTATGAGCAATGTAATCCCTTGAAATTAATTTAATATTGAAGTTGAGCAGGAAAGTTCTACACAATTTTTTTTTAAATTTAGACTACCAGCCTTGAAGATATTAGATCTTTTACCTTGCCACTTTGTAACAAATAGTGACAAACATCTTTCCAATGAACTCAGCACATTTGAATAAAGGGAAATAGGCATAGAGAGTGAGTTTTCTTCATTTCTGCTGAATGCTTCTTACAATTTAAGTAAATAGGCACAGAAAAGCTTTCATTACATACTAAGCATCATCGCAAGCACTTGACATCCTGCATTACGCTGGTAACATCATTTGTTAACTCATGTCGTCCTCAAAACCTCATGAAGGAAGAAGTACTGTCATTTTCCTCATTTGTCTAGATGAGAGAACTGAGGCACTTATCAGACAAGACTTGCTCAAGGTCAAAGTTAGTAAGTAGCAGATTATGTATAATCAACACCCAAAACCCTGGCCACCAATATCCTGGGAGTACCAATTCCCTTTGCTCTGAATCTGTTAAAACCCAGAATCACTTTGATGAATAATCTGACTTCCCAGTGTGTAGATATGGGATAGGATGTAGCCTGGGTGGTAGAAACCAGGCTAATTTTCTGACCCTATATTGAATGGATAGTTTGTCTCTTGTGAGTTTGAATGTTAGCTAATCAATTACATTAGAATAAGTGATCCTACATATGCTGACCCCACCAACTTAGTGAACCTACTAAATTCAGAATTCAAAAGATGCTACTAGCTTGTAAAATCCTGCATTCAGCCTTATCAAGTGGTATTTCCATCTCTTTAATTTCCACATATAATATTAATTCTAATATTTAATTTTTAGTATGTAGAATATTGATAAGCAGTATCCTAAAATCCTTTAATTTATGTCAATATATTTTTATAATATCTATTTGCATTGTCATGAATCTTGTAAAGGCAATCTACAGATTCCAATTTTATAGATACCCTTGTTATTATTAGTAAAATTCTGTTAATCCTAATATGCTTTTTGCTAATGATTTCTAAAATAAAATTGTCCTGATTTTTCATCCTAATGAGTGAGAGTCTTTATTAGGAAGGGGAAAAAACTTAAACAATGGAAAAATATTACAAGATAATGTAACATAATACTGAATTTATTGAAAGGAAGGAGAAAATACGAGCAAGAAAGCAAACAGAAGATGTTGTGGTAAGTCAAAACAATTCTACTTGGTGTGCACCCTGGGGAACCAGGCATTCTGCCTAGGACAGG